GGGTCAGCTGTCCTGGCTGTGCCCCCTCCCAGCTTCTTGTGCACCTCCTCGCTGGCAGAGTATGGGAAGCTGAAAAGTCCTCGACTGAGTATAAACACTGCTTAGCAACAACTAAAACATCGGTGTGTTATCAACATTATTCTCACCCTAAATCCAAAACACAGCACTGTACCAGCCACTAGGATGAAAATTAACTCTATCCCAGCCGAAATCAGGACAGTACTCCAGCCAGCCCAGTCGTTTCCAGGCTGAGTATTTCCAGCTACTCTTTTCTTTTGCAAGCGTAAGTGAAACACGGAGGTGACTTCACTTCTGCTCATACTGTGCATTTCTTTGGGCTTTCATTATTCCTTTTTAATCAGCATCATTTCCAGGCTGCAGAGACTTCGTGCGTCAGAGAAGAGGGAACAGGTATCCGCTACCCTGTGCTGTGAGAACATCTGCTAGGTCAGGAGCACCCCACCAGATGCTGATGGGAGCTAGGTACCTGCTCAGTTGGGATCTGTGTGCAGGGATGTTCATGACAGCAGCATGGTCCACTGCTGGATGGCCGCAGTGCTCACACCACAGGCTTTGAGGGCTTTTCAGGGGTGGCACCAAGACACCCAAGTCCGTTACTGGACCCGTGCTTCAACTTCTATATGTCTCATTTCCCCATCTGAAAAAGAGCCATGAAACCTTCCCATGTGTGCGGAGCGGGACCCTCTGTGCTGCCCATGTGGAGGCCACCACGGTGTAGGGACAGGTTCTGTTGTAGATTAACGTTTGCTTGAATTTTTGCGTAGCATCCTGCATAACAAAAAGGTGCCGAGGGCTGGGGCCCTTCAGCCAGCGCTGTGCCCACTTACATTAGTTGTGCTCTGAAAGAACCTTTCATAAAGTCATTTTAATGAGTTGTTGCTAATTAGGTGCAGAGCAGGGGTTGGTTTCTAACTCCTCTGACATCAAGCTGACTCTTTCTGCCCTTGCTGGACGGCAGAGCCCACCCGAGGGCACTGCAGCGCAGCAGCCCTACTTTCACTGTATTTGACCAGCAAGCTGTGAAGTTACAGGATAATTGAAGCTTTGCAGGACTAGGTAGTTACTCAGCCTTTCACATCAAATTCACACACAATGGTTATTTCAGCGGCGCCCCAGGAGTTGCAGAAAGCTGGTGAAAGAAAGGGGAAGCGAACGGCATCTGATTGAATGCTATAGAAACATGTATCAGCCTTCCTACAGCTGCCATATGTTCCTTCCTTTGCTGCTCACTTCTTACAGGCCCCTCTTGACTTTGTTAGAAATAATTTTGGCATAATGTCTGGTTTTCGCTGGTGTGTTTACCTCGCTGAGGCATTTGTGAGCTACATAACGTACAAGCTGCATAGGCTTCCTCCTAGGATTTTTTTTTTTTTTAAACCAAGAGTTGAAATCCTCTCATTTTGAAGCATGAGACCAGATGAAAAGTGCGTTTCTTGGAGGAGGGAGCATCCTCCATGCCCCAGGAATTGGAGAGAAATCATAAAAGTCTGTGCTGCATAGGGCACTGGAAAAATCTGTGATAAACAAACCTGTGCAGGTGTAAATTTGGGGAGCTCGGGGGGGCAAAGCACCTCTCTCAAGGCACCTGCTTGTAACAGAGTGCAGGCAAGAAGCATAGGTTTGGTCTTCTTCAGCCACATCCCACCTGTGGGTTATTGCATTGGGTTGCACTTTGAGGATGAATCCCTGCGGTCTAACTGCGCTGCACACCCATCCTTAGTACCTCCATGTTAAAATATGATGTTACCTCAGTGGAGCCTTGAAGAAACGCATGAAATCAGTCCTTCTAGTTTTGATTTCGACCTGTTTTGCCTGGCAGCATCGTTTACGAGGTGACAGGGATGTGGTTGTTCGGGAAGCTGTTCTGCAAAGTCTGGATCTCCTTTGATGTCATGTTCTGCACTGCGTCCATCGTCACGTTGTGCTTCATTAGCCTGGACAGGTACTGCTCTGTGGTGACCCCGTACCACTATTCAAGAAGGATGTCCCGTGGCAGGTGAGTGGAGTTGCTCCTCACTTTGGGTACCTCCAAATTTTTACGTGGCCGTGGCCTGTATTGACTAGGGACCAAATGAGCTATTGACAGTTGCTGCCCAAAAGCAGAGCGATGTGGCAAAAGGATCTTTGCACCGTTTAAAACTTTGCAGAAAAATTTTAATGTGGTGCAGGAGAAAAGGAGAATGCAGCTGAGCTGGTTTGATGGTGCTCCTGGGAAAGCACTTTCTGAGTCAAGGATGGGTTGCAAAATGGGGCAGAAACCAGTGGTGTGGGCTGACATGTACCTATAACTTCTGCCCTTTGCAAGCATTTAATGGGAATTTCCCCAAGGACTAGGGGAAATGACACCCAGAAGAATGCAGGTGGCAGTAGCCTTCCCCCTCTTAAACTCACAATGTTTTCTGAAGTGATGTTCATGGGGGAAATGCTGAGAAAACAGGATGAGTTTCTAAGCTCCTGTCAAGGTTTCATGCGAAACATTGAAATGAGGACTGCAGGGTGGGGAAAGTTGTCTGAGGGTGGGCAGAGAGGACGCTGCAGCTGCGGGGTGCTTTACAAGGTGGATTCAGGCTCTTTTGGGGATGTTTTTCCCACTGCAACTCTTGCTGTGTACGATCTGTGGAGCGCAGGCAGTGGCCAAAACGAGGAAGGGGCTGCGCAGCACACCATGTCGCAGAGTACCGCTACAGCGGTACTGAGGATCTGGTGTCCATCAGCTCTACCCTTGTTGCTCCTCAGAGGATAAGATAATGGCCAGATATTAAAGTTGAAACCAAATAGAAAAATCTACATGCTGTTGTTTTAAATATTAACGAAAATCCTCTGTAAAACCTTTCCTCCTCTTTTTTCAGCCAGCTCTGAGCATCCCTTACGCTGACCCCAATTCTGTTAATCACAGACCCAGTTACCCAATCGTTAAGAGATATTCACGTACGGACTTCTTGTACCCCGGCTTTTTCCCTTCTCCAAGCCCTGTGGGACTGCTGAGCAGTGATATCCCACACGGGTTACCATGGGGACTGAATCGTACTGGATGTTCTCAACTCAAAATAACTCAGACCCTCTCTCCCCTCCCCATCTCCTTCCTTTCGCAGATGCATCGTGATGACCTGCATGGTCTGGGTATACTCCTCCCTCATTTCCTTCCTTCCTGTCATGCAAGGCTGGAACGAGATCCCCGGGGTGGACTTCGATGCAGGCAGAGAATGCATCTTCATCACCAACTGGATTTTTGCCATCGTGGCTTCTGCTCTGGCATTTTTCGTTCCCTTCATGGTCATGTGCAGCATGTATTTCTTCATCTACCGAGCTTCACGGCTCAAGGCCACTCGTATCATGTCTCAGACCCTGGAGATTCACTACCACCCCAACAGCAAGCGGCAGAACCATCTGCAGCTGGAGAACAAGGCCACGCGGACCATTAGCATTATCATTTCAGTCTTTGTGCTGTGCTGGCTGCCGTACTTTGTCCTGAATGTCTGGCTCGCTGCCAGAGGCACCGACTCCACCAGCACAGTCTTGGTTGACACCTTCAAGATCATCACTTGGCTAGGGTATTGCAACTCCACCATCAACCCGATGCTCTACGCTTTCCTGAACCGGGACTTCCAACGGGCCCTGAAGAAGCTGCTCATTTGCAGGCACAGGTCTCAGGTGGACATTGGAGAAGACATGGTTTCCATAGCCACGTTTTCCAAGACTGCTCCAGACCTAGAATATAGCATTACCGTGCCGGTGCCCAGTGGTGCCCTGAAGGACAAACCCAAGTAATAGGGATTCAGACTCAGGTGGTGGAGGTGGTGGTACAGAAGGTGCCAGAGCACATCCTAATGGAAAAATAACCGGTAGGAAGATAAGGGAAGGAGGGGCTGGAATACTACAGCTGGGGGCATATGACAAAGATGCATTTCTTCATCTTCCACAGTTTTACGAACGAGGAACGTTGATATTTTAGGGGCAATTTGTTATAACTAATGGAGCTAATTCCTTCCTGGGTAATTCTTTTTTTAATGATCATTTCCTAAGACAAATTCAATCTTCATGCTGGGGGAAAAAAAAAAATTAGTATGATAATGTGAACTTGTCTTTGTGTACATCCTCGTGATCTACAACGTAAGGTGGGACAGCATTTCTTTCTTATCAACCCACTGTAGCTCTCACCTTGCAGCTTACATTACAAATTTGACCAGTTTTAATAACTTCACGTGTGTCAGTCTGTGTATGGGAGTTAGGAAGGATGTGGTCAGAGCAGAGGTCACTTCTTTACAAAGGCACTCTGCAGTCTGGGCTGTTGCTCAGGGTTCAACTCACTTGCTTCTGAAATACCGAGAGGTTCAGACCTTTCAGTGGCTTTCTGTGCATTATCTGTGAGTTTCCTTATTAATTCTGGAAGGGAATATCCTATGTGGCAGACCCCAGGAGATGAGCAACACTTGCTGTAACACTGAGAGCCCAGGGGGTTCGACGGGGGCTGCAGGTGACCAAGACCAGCCGAAGAGGGGATGTGAAGAGGAATTATTACTTACTTGTGTGTTTTGCACTGTGATGTCTGCGCCCTGATGCTATGAGTGTAGCTATAGAGTATTGCTGGACCACACAGCCATAAAAAAAAAAGATGATAAATGGGAACGGTTATTTTTACCACTCCCAAGTGTTGTCTGGACTTCAAACAGCATCAAATAGCACCAGCTCCCCACAGGAGGGCCATGGAGATGTACCTCACTGAAGGATTACCCTGAAAAAGGCAGGACTGCTCCCAAACGTCTCTGCAGCATCCTAACAGTGAGTAAAAAGCAGGAGCTGAGCCCCCAGGGCCACAGCTTTTCTGTATCAGGGTCACGTGAGGGCTGGCGACTGCTCAGACCACAGCCATCGCTTCCCCGGCAGCGTTCTGGTGGGTCTCACGCCAGTTTACATGGGAGAGTCACCGCACTCAGAGCCTGCTCTCGGACCGACCTCCTGTGGACGTGAACCACTTCAAGGATGGTTTCTGAAATAGCTTTTTCTGAGGGCTCAATCACCTACTTGGGACAGGCAAGGCTTCTGCAGCCTGGGAGGCAGAGCAAACACAGCAGAAAGATATCCAGGCTAACATTTAATGCTAAAACTAGTGGACTGAGGCACTCAGAGGGGTGAAGAACGTCACTTTGTTAATAAATAAAAAAAAGGGGGGGCTTAGTAAAAGTCCTGAGTCCTTCTGCTCTTCCAGCTCAAAGGTAGCAGAGGATTGTCCTCAGAGGTGTAGCAAAAAGCAAGTAGCTACTGCTTGGAGCAGCTCAGCTACTGAAGACACTGGTATAAGGGTCAGAAGTTCTCTCTCAAGGGCCTGGTAGAAGAAACAGCCCTGACCTGGGGTTGCAACACTGGTACTCCTGTCAATGACTCTGCATGGGGTGGGTTAGGTCTCTCAGCTCCTACGACTCCAGTAACAACACAGAAGCGGTAAGGAGAGTAACTACACAATCCTGCCCTTACTCTGGGAGAAGCATCTAGGTCCAGTGGGCACAAAGGTGGACAGGGCAGGATTCTTGCTCCTGACACCCAGTTCTTCTTGATAAGACAAGGAATTGTGTTTCAGCCCCAAGAGCTATGGTGGGGAGGGAGCTGAGGGACAGGCAACATCCTCTGCAAGAACAGGCCAGGGCAGCAGTGCCGCACAGTGCGGCAGAACCCGAGACCAGAGCTCCCTTTTGCAGGGCTGTAAGCTGGCAGCTGCGCTGTCCTCCGTGCTCAGGTGTCCCTTCGCAAAAAAAGGTGGCAGGAAGGTACACACTGATTTCCGTGGCCACAGGAAGACCTAAAACAGTCCGACAGCTGATCTCTAGATGTTCATAAAACTGAAAGAAGGCAAATAGACTTGCCTGTGAGCCATCAGATGTTCCTGCCACCAGGGCCATCGTGTGAAGACTAGGATCTCTCGGACAAGGTGGAAAGCTGCTGCTGTCACCTACACAGAACTGAGAAAAGCCTGCCTTCGTTGCTTTCCCTTCCAGGATGTGAGCATAGAGCAAATGCACATTAGACCAAAGGCCTTCAGTCTTTCAGTCATGGTTGACCATTCGGGCCGAGTTGACTGAAGAACATCATCTGGCAGAAGGACAGGGATGGAACAGGAAAGTGCAGTATAATTAGAACCTGACTTAAAGAAGGAAAAGAAGACGGGAGGTGCACCCCTCTGGGGAGCCTGGTTCTGAAGAGCTGGTAAAATAGTCCTGGAGCTGATGGGGGTGTTGAAGCCCAGGTGGATGTTTCACAGTGCAGAGAAGTGCCCTCTTCTCCCACTGGTGGGGCAGAGCAAGTGGAGCTGCGAGAGGCAGGGAAATGAGGGCTTGCAGGCAAGACCTGAGTTCAGAGGAAAACCTCTTTGGTTAGGGAAGACTTCCTTAGTCAAACCCTGGAGCAAGAAGGAGCAAAGACGGGGACAACACACGCTAGCATCCAGTGCTAAGAGAAGCAAAGACTCACTGACACAGGCCGTTAAGAGCTGAGCGTGGCCAGGTGCTTTTGCGGCTGGGCATGCACCACACAGGGTAGGATTCGTACATGCCTTTGAGGAGAAGCGCAACATCCCAGAGCACACAGGCACGCCTAGTGTGAACATGTATTTCACTGTTGGTACTGAAATGCTGCAGGGCTCTTGGAATAGGCAGCTACTTACATCCAGCCCAGGTATACAGCAAGTTAAAAACACCTTATTCTTCATTTCCTGTGCTCCATCAGTAATCGCTGAACTGGCAGGGAAGCTGGAGAGGCTTCAAACGTGGCCATTTAACTGTGCATTTATAGCTGATGCTAACAGGGAAATCCAAGGGACGAGGACACGCTTAACTGTCTTCTGTTTTAACCCAGCTAAACTCAATAAAGTTCTGGTTTTGACCAAATATTCACTGCAGCATTCTGACTTCAACTGGTCAAGCCAGCATCTAGGACAGTTATCCAAGAGCACAAGATGACAATCTTTGTAATCCACTTTTGCCTTATCACAAGGCTGTAGAGCATCCGCTGGTTTAATTGCTAGTTGTAGTGTCACACCACAGTACAGTGATCCCCAGAAGGAGGTGGGGACCCCAGTGGTCTACCTGGACTTCAGTAAGGCCTTTGACACCGTCTCCCACAGCATTCTCCTAGAGAAGCTAGCGGCTCACGGCTTAGACAGGTGGACTCTGCGCTGGGTCAAAAACTGGCTGGACGGCCGGGCCCAGAGAGTTGTGGTGAATGGAGTTCAATCCAGTTGGCGGCCGGTCACGAGCGGTGTTCCCCAGGGCTCAGTT